GGGGGGGGGGGGGGGGGGGGGGGGGGGGCGGAGCGGGCGGCGTGGCTGGGCAGCACGGGCCGATTTGGGGGGCGGGGCAGGGAACGGGGCTGCACAGCGCGGCGGCTAGGTGTGCGACCGGGCGGTGCGGCGCGGACAAGCCTGTGGTGACGCTGCAGTACCAGGGGCTGGTTGACGCGGTGAGAGGGGATGGCGGTGCTGAGCACAGCTTGCGTCGGGAAGGGGGGGGGGGGGGGGGGGGGGGGGGGTACGTGCTCGTCGAATCCGGACCACAGTAAAAGCAGGGGGGGACTCCCATCATTCGCGCTTGTGACGTATCATGCACATGTCCTCAAGGAGAGGAGGCAGGAAAAGGTGCGCCACAAAAAAATACAGGCGCAATCGCCTCCATCCCGAGCACGCCGCTTCGAGAAACGGAAACAATCCACCGAAAAACCGCTCATATACCTCCTCTTCCTCGCACAACACCGGAGAGGGACCCTTACCAGGGCGGCCTCAAAAANTTTACCTCGCATTCCTACAAAGCCGGGACGGAGCACGCCGGGTTCTCACCGAACGAGACTATCAAATCACCAAGCGCGAAGCGCCGTGAGGTATTCGGCGAGTCGCATGAAGGGTGCGCTGCATCCTGCTAAGGGTGGTCGGCATCTTGTTGTTACTTCCTTGCATACGGACAGCTGCGTATGACTTTATTTGTTTTGCGGTGCTTGCACTTCCAGAGAGAGTTATTTGCACTTTGTTACTTCCGTGAGGGTTCTTTACCAATTCACCACAACGTGGTGCGATCATCCCCTTTGCGCGGAATTCTCGACCCCGCCCAACATGATCTACTCGACCACCATTACGGTTACCGCAATAAAACACCCAGAGGCAAAAGAAAAACGGTAACCTGGTTGCCGAGCTCACGAAGTGATTGGTTTGTTTTACAACATCGTTCCCAAGCGACGAAAACCCAACCCCGATGGCAAACACCCGGGGGGGCGGGGGGAGGGGTTGTCGCTCATGTCCTACAATTGGTCATATGGCCGTTCGCCCCGATAAAGGCTGAGCACCATAACATCAATCTTGTGTATGCCAAGGATCCTTTCAACCCTTCGAGTGCAGCGTGTATATCTTTGGTGGCGTGCAAACTACTTATCTGCGCTAGCCGGCGATGAGCGGGTGAATCTCACGAATATACGCCTGGCACGTGTCTAGTGGGTGGCAGGGTTTTTTATGATTGGGTGGGTGTCGATGGTTGGTGGTTGCCACTGAAGAAGAATATCACGAAAGTCAACCTTGGCGACTATCTATGTCGCGATGCGTTGGGTTCCGGAGCCCAAGAATTATGCCACATTCGTTTCTTGTAACCTGAACATGTTTCCACATTTTTTATTTTATTTTTTTGTTCTACAGGTGCGGCAGATTCACGCTACAGAGGGTGCCGCAGGATTTTTCCGCGGAGCCTTGCCGCGGTTGCTGGTGCACATGCCCTCGGTAGCCATCTCGTGGACGACGTACGAGACGGTCAAGGTCTGGCTGTCGGAAGGGGCTTCTCGGGGGGAACGCTAGATTCTAGGATTCTTCACGGGGAGCACGCGACTGCTGTTTTCTTTTGAGGGCTTTAAGGCTGTAGCGCCATCCCAAGAGAAAAAATAAACGAAGCCCATCCGGCGGGGGGAGCATGGAGCGTAGCTTGTTTGTAGTGCCAATGTCGAGATTTGAGCCATGTTTTTTGAGTGAGGGCTCATGGCGACGTGCTCATGGCGACGCCCGACTTCTGCGCACGAGCAGACCGGTTGTCCATTCCCACAGAGGAAGAGCGCAGATTTGTCAGGGATACTGAGTCATTCGTAGGCAAACACGCATCCAACGTTGAGCGCAGCACTCTTAAAGGGTTGCGGCACAAAAAAATATCTTGTTTCGGCTTGATAGTTGTTCTATCAGATTTGAGTTTCTTGTGTGTGTGCGGTGTTATTTGTTGGTGCTGCGGAGTCGGGAAAGAGATGTCGCTCGCTTGGGCGGCGACATCTCCCGTGTCCCTCGTTATCCTCGAGGCACAGAACGACAACATCGTTCAGCAAGTCATGGTGCGCGGCTACTGCTGGTTCTCTTTGGGTTTGTATGTAGTGTTTTGGGAATGAAGGACAAGGGGTGTCCTATTTCTGTTCCGATTTTGACATGACATGTCCGAATAAAAGATACCGAACTGGTTCGGCTCTTTACTTCGTGTGCAGTGGGCGGTTTTCTTGGTGATTCCTTCGCAAGCGCCGAAGGAGGGCTGTAGTGTGTTTTTGAACTTTGTGTAAGGGTGAGCGTCTCCGGTGTTAACTTCGCCAAATTTGTTTTTCTGTGGGAGGATGGCCGCGGACGCTCGTGGATGCACAACGGTTTCGCTGCTTGGCAGCTGCTGCGGAGGTATCAATTGGTGCCTTGCTAAGAGGGCACAACCTGGTTTTGTTTTTGTGCTACGGTGATATGAAAAATGATTTTGACGGGGTCGCTAGCAAAACGATGTGTGCGCTTAGTCTGAGCCCCATATTTTTGGGAGGCAATTAATTGTGGCGCGCAACGTCGGAGAGGAGGCGGGTGGGGCTGACAGCGAGAGGTAGGAAGTTCGTGTACCATTGGTATACTTACAGGGGGAGCTGGATGGGCCGGGGTAAGTCTACTTGAGATGGATATGCTAAGCCAACATGATTCAGACCATAGAGGTGGCTCGCTGCTTGGCGGTCTTGTTTTTGATGTGGGTGGCATAGCGTCAACGAAAACACTCCTACAAAGTGTTGCAAGTAAGGCTTTCGAAGGCATGTGGGTAGTTACCTTCCCATGTTCAAAGCAGGCGCGTTTGTTCACTCGACAACGGCGATATCTCTTGTTACCACTCCGAAAACAATTGTTCGTATGCATACACGGGTAAGTCTTCGATACCGGTAAATTCGTCCTTTTTTTCTACCACCAAAACCAGGCAATTCGCCCGCACCGCCCGCACAATGCGTCACCTTGTACCACATCCGGCCAACGCCATGCGTCAGGTCAACAGCATCGTTACACCACACTCGAAAAAACGAATCAAGCTCCACACTCGAATAAAGGTCCGTGCTGCAGGTCAACAGCGCCGTTGCACTTTTTCGCTTAAAAAAGAACAATAGTCTGGTGTTCCAGACAAAGCCGGATGGTTTTTCCAGCCAATCCATGTGATGAGAACGAGCCCTGTCCTCGCAAACAGCGAAACAGCTTCATTCGTTCACAACTCCCACAGACATGCGAGTCACGTTACATCGAAAATCAGCAGGGGGCGCACGCTTGCAACTCCAAGTTGTTAGTTTTTCCGTGCGTCTGTTCCCCGAGAGGTGTGAGCTCGAAACACAGGGCTCGGTGGTTTCGACCATTCGCAACAGGAGTAGCCCTGACATCCTCGTTGCACACCGCGTTTCTCGTTGCAGCCAACAACCCACGCGTTTTTCGTACTAGACGACAACGAGTCGCCTACTGTACGCGGTGAGACGAGATGGGTTGTATTTTTTCTAAAAAACACCACCAATCTCATCTCTATCGTAGACAAGAGTCCGAGATTTCGTTTCTGTTGGAAGACACCACTCAATCCAGAGCTTTCAAGAGCCCACGATGATGATTTTTTTTTTCCCTCCGATCGGTGGTGTTTCTTTCACCACTCGAAGCACGTGTCCAAGCCGAAGTGGTCCGAGGGGAAGCAAGAGTGTGGCGGGGCCATCCTTTCGGTGCCGAGGAGGGCGAAAGACCTGGCGTACCCCTTCGCCTGGCCGTTGACGAACATCCTGTTTTTGAGGCCAAAAGGTCATCCGCAAGGGAGAGAGGGTGTGCTCTCATGTTTTGCATGCTCTAGCGGCTAGACCGTTGACCACGCGTCCTCGAGGGGACGGAGCGTTGTTCCACACGCACGAGGGTACATACCCGTGCGCATGCAGAGCGATCGATCACCGCATTCGCAGGGCGAGATGAGAGTGGCCTACACGGTCCTTGGTGTTCCTGTTTGGTGGTGGAAGGTCCAATACACAGCAATATAGATGGTTAAAGTCCAAGGCGAGGCCAAATGTCACTCCCCCCATCAACGATTGCCACGAACACTCACAACACAGAAGTACATCACTCAGCTTGGAAACGTGACTGCAGTCTGGAAAGCACATCACCCACAGAGGGTACTCAAACACTGAGCTGTCGCTCGTTCGGAATCTGCGCCTCTGCTCGGTCATGGAAATCCAGTCACGGGCAGGCGCATCATCTCGCGGAATCGTGCCAGTCCAAAACCTTTCTACGCGGCCAACCTCAGAAACGGGTACATCGTACTGACAGAAGTTCCAAGACATGTCGTCCATTGTAGCGATCCGTGCCTCTCGCCTGGAGGTCGTTTGTCCGACACCAAAGCGTTGCTGTTCGTTAGCATATCCCAAGGGGGGGAGAATATGCAACCATGAAGCGAACGAACATGTCAATACCTGTTTGAATACCGTTGTGTCAAGTAACAACAAAGATGGTAGGCCCCACGCTAAAATAACCGCAACCCTATTGTAACCTTAACGCTACTCACAAGACCTCGGGAGCCGGTGAATAGTCTATTGCATGCGGTACAATACCTGTCGTATCTGGCCCTAGGCTGGAACCCTCCGCCGAAGACGATGTTGTCGTTGTTGGCCATGTCCCAAGTGAAACGACGCTTAGGATCCGCACCGCAAAGTTGCCACATGTCTCCAGCCTTCCCAATTATTTTTCAAGGCAGACATACGGGGGGGGGTCAGGCAAGATACCGCGTGACGATGCAAACAAGCAAGCACCAGGTGCTACGTACGTGGGCACGACTCGCACCAGCAGCAGCGTCTTGCCCTGCTTGGAAAACGCAGCGCCAGCCGAAGCAAGGCGGCGCGGGGGGGGTGCGGCGCGGCGCATCCAAGGAAAGCACCTCGCCGTCCTTCCAAATATCACCGCTCCATCAAGACCCTTTGATTGTATACCTGCCTTACCTTGGCAGCTCAATGTAAAAAAAATACGCATCAGTGGAGCCAAGGGAGTGTGTCTGCGGCTTGCTCCCAAAGCCAAAGGCCCGCCTCGTCCCCGGAGTCTAGCTCACGGAGTGCGCCCGAATTCGTGCAAAAACTCAATCACGCCCTTGAGTCTAAGGCCAGCGAACGGGTGCCCGTCTTGTGGCCAATGGCTTGCTGAAAGCTCATGGCCATGAATACATTATTTAATAGGCACACGTTACCATCGTATTCCACCGCCCATCGCCACGATCACCTCTTTGGCGAGCTTTTCCTGCTTGACCTCAGCCTCCCGGAGGTTGGTGTCTCCGGCGAAGATGGCGGGGCCCCCGCGGAAGGCGAGCAACTGCTTCAGCACCTGATTCGCGCGTACCCACGCACACACCAGTTTAATGGCAGTAGGAAGTGTTTTGTGTTTTCAACCGCACTGAGACTGACATCGTTCCATTGGTCAGCCGGTTAGCGTGGTCGACGCTAATAATAAAGACACACGCACACACGCGAAAAAGAGATAAAAGGTGCCGACCACCATTCGAGCAACTGCACAAGCAATTGTTTCGCGCACCCACACGCACCCACCACAAAAGACATGGCTGGTGCCGGACACCATTCGTTGCCAGTTCTTATGGTTCACCCGTGTATGTTACCACTTCCGTGTTTTGCTTACCACGTATGCTCACAGAGCGCAGTCAGAGGGGTGCACTCTCGGGTATTTCTCATCTCCCAGCTCCCAGCCCCACTATATAATAGAGCTGTTGCTGATCCCGCCCCGGCCCCCGCACACACGCACACCCGCACACACGCACACACGCACCTGGTTAAATTGCGCCTTCCTTTCTTCGGAGCTTTGCTTTTCACTCTCCAAGTGGGAGGTCATGAGGAGCATCGGCTTCCCGTTGAAGGTAGCCCGAACGGTTGACAGGTCTCTCCCCATGAGCGAGTGCGGGAAATCCTTTCACAAATTTTCGGAACAAAAAGGAACGGCAGACGAAATCGAAAGAAAACATCACTCAAACGCCCAACTAAGAATCTTTACGTCATCATCATAATATTACATGCCAGTAGTTTTCTGGCCGCTCGCAGTAGCTTCGAACGAGCTCCTGTTCGCAGGCAATGACTCCTCGTAAGGACTTCCTGCCTGCTGTGATGCTCGTCTTCATATCGTGTTGCGTGAAGGGCGCGCCGTTCCCAAGCCTCTGGGAGGCTGATGAACAAGGACTTGCGATCTACTTTCGTTTTAAGACTGCTGGGATACGAAAAAAATAAAAATCGTCCCCTCGCTTGGATTCGGACATTCGATATTTCCGCCGCTGAAAGATTGACGGTGCCGAAAACGGCGGTGTTGGAGCCGTCTCGTCGAGAGCTTTCCGAAAACGTATCCTATTGATCTAGGCATCATCTCCATAGTGGACAATCGATCCAGGGGGTGTGATATCTTGTGTCACCTACCTGCGGTGACCACTCAACCAGCAGAGCGTCCACGACACACACGTGTTTAAACAGCCCGCATCGAACAAGGCACGCAGTATTCACACCAGAAACCGCCTTTTTCTTGCACAGTCAAGGAAAATAAACGTGACGGTTGTTTCCCCTTTCACCTTCCTGCCGCTTTCCTGCACCGTGACAGTGCCCACCTTGACGAACGTTAGCGTGAAGTACCTCTGCTCTACGGGCACCCTAGGGGGGAAGGCGCGGTATCGTCCTTGCCCCCCTAGCCGCGCGTTAAGTACACCAAACATTTCGTCATCCACCTCCTGGTAAGAGAGTCGTTGTAGTGTGTACGGGGAAGAAAACGCAAGTAGGCATTTGCCGAAGAAAGGGGGGGAAACAGAGACAGAGAACAGAGGGGGGGGAGGTGCCGAGAGAGCGGTTAGAAGAGTCAACACGAAGGCAAAAGTACAACAGGGAGCCCTGAAAGAAGACGGGACGGGGAGAGCGGCAGGGGAAGCAGCTGTCTAGCGATCGACGTGGAAGAGAGGCATCCAAATCCATACATGGTACCGGCAAACTGGCTGGGACACATGGCACCACTGCCGCTGCCACACACGTGTAGGCGTTTTCCTCGATCGAGAGAGAGAGAGAACAAAAACGCGACAAGGACTACACAAACAACAACACACGACAGACCGTTGCACCTGCACTGGTGTGGCGAAGGGATCGTGATCGTTTTCTGTCGTGTAAACAAAAAGTTCATGACCTCTATATAACCAGAACCTCCTCCTCGATGCTCCCTTGAGGACAAAATATCGAATACCCACATGCCATGATTGGAAAGCAAATCGTTACGAAGTAAACCTTGCTCCGCCATGAGTACAGATGCCTTCGAAACTGCCCCACGGGACCAAAACAAAAACAGAAAATTCTCCCCTGTGCACACAAACGCTGGTACCAACAGCGGGCGCACAGCCACCTCGGGGCAGACTCATGGCGCACGATACCGCCCACCCCCTCCGCGGCACCAAACTCGCCTGTAGAAGGATGACGTCGGGTGTCGGCTCCGATTCCAGCAAGATCGCGCACACCTCTTCCACCCTTGCCATCTTGTTCTCGCCGTTCAGGCAGTCAAGATTCCATGAAACCTGCACGATGCACGGATGATACACACATGATTATTTGTGGGCCTTTTGACACACACTACGAGCATTGAAGTTCACGAGCACGCGAAGCAGGCAGGGTATTTCCTATTCCGAGGGGCGGACAAGTATGCGCTACTGGGCATACGCGCAGCCCGAACAGTTTCAACGCTGTCTGGAAAAAAAAAGGGAGTCGTAACCATCTTCTCCTTCGCACAGCGATTCCACAAATGGTGGGTCCGTGGCCGCTGTCAAGCGTGTCCAGACCTGATGCCAGGAATCACAATCCGGTCTACACGACGTCAACCACACAATCAGTTGGTGCAGTATCTCGTCCACAAGAAAGTGACAATCTTGTTCACAAAACTAGCCTCAAGAAGGGGGTCACAAGGAACGAGAACGAGCAGCAAATAAATAACAGGAGGCACACAACCAACTCGAAAAAAAAAAGAAAAGGATATAGGATGACGAGACTGTTCCTCTTCCGAGCACCTTGTGGGTGAAGTGCACTGCCGACCGGTGGTCAAAACTCTGGCCTGTGGCAATGAATAAATTTAGGCTTGCAGCGCGCGGTCTCACCTTTCCTGGGCGGGTCTACCTCACACCCCTACATACCACGCACCCAAAGCGCCCCTTGTCTTCTTTGCTACGTGCCATTCTGAAGGCTCTACCTCACCCACCCACGTACCACTCACCCCACGGCCTCATGCCTTCGTTGGTACATGCCTTTCCAAAGGCTGAGGGAGGTGCGTGCTGTGTTGCATTCGAACTCTCAGCGCGTCGAAGACATGAAGGCTCTCTACATCTTTCTTTGCTGGTGGTGCTAATCTCCCTCTCTCTCTCTCCCTTCTAATCTACTACCTGTTCCTTCTCCTTCGATGTACACGAATTTTCTGTCTCTTGGCTCAAACATCGGCACCGCCGTGCTGCACAATTATCCGCGCTCTACAAAAAGCACAACGGAACCAAGATCGAGCCCAAGAAGCAATGCCGGCGGATAACGTCATCATTTATTCGTCACTGGCGTCAAACACGTCCATCTAAACGAACAACGTTTCGGCAGCTACGACGGTAACAATGCTCACCACGCGACACGTCTTGGGGGAGTGAGGTGCAACGCTGCCGCCGCCGCCGCCGCTGCTCCCTGCTGCCGAGCTTGCTTCAGTCCTGCGCCCGGCGGCTCCAGTAACACCGAGAGCCCCATCAGCACCGCCAGCAGCACCAGAGGTGTCCGTTGCTTTCTGGAAATGGGGACGCGAAAAAATGGGCTGCGTAGGCTTGTCATCTCCTTCATTCTGGACGTCTAAATAGTGTTTCATAATTCCGTATTTCAGTAGGGACCACACAGGAGCAGTGTTCGTTTGACTGCTTTCACCTTCCCTCTGAAGTGCTTGCTTTTATCGCTAGAAGGATTTGGCCACTCTTTCCCTCGTCGACGGTGAGCTCTGAAAATGTTGAGCACGGAAATAGAGTAGCCTATGTACACATAGAGAACTGGAAACCTCTTGTAGTTCTGATGGGTCAAGTGGCAAGCACTACCAATTCGACCCTTTGCTGCAGCAGGAGAGGTCCCGATAGAATGCCGGTACGTGTCACGCCGATTTGCCTGACATTTGATACCGGGCACCCAGCATTACTCAGAGCACGAGACAACTTGAATATTGTTCCTATGCATACGTCACGCGATTTCACCGGCACCATACCCAACCGGCGTTGCATTCAACGGGCATATCAATCAACCACTAAGACAGACTTTTACGCAAGGTCTGCAGTTCCTGAGATTTGGTTTCTTTAGTGAAGCCGACACACCACTCCTCATAGTGTTGTTATTTGCCGAAAAACTGGGATTTCAAATCCCAGATACACCCCGGAATCGCCTTGCCCGCTGCGATTTGGAGTCCCGAATCAGAGCCATATTTTTCGACTGGGATTTGGGTTTGATGCCGTTGTGCAGGCGTTGTTGCGCGCGCGCGGCACCAAGTGCACGTTTGTTTGCACATTGCACCGCACCCGCGTGTGTCTAGCTACATAGGTATATGTAGGTGTCGCCACATGTATACAGATCAGATGTTGGACATGTGTGTCGCCTCTCTGCTAATTTTATTAAATACGCCATCCACCAATCGATAACATGTCCACGAACCAGGATTGTGTGGAGAGCAGTTGATGGAGAGAGGCAAAGAGGACACACAACCTTCCTTTTTCAAAGGAAAAACACACCGTACGTGACACAACATACCACACCCACCGACGATACCTCACCCCTAACGAATTTGTACAGAAAACCGCAACCGTGGGATAATTTTTGCGTCCTGGAAAACGCATCGATTTATCACACGGTCACAGGTACCGGTCGCCCCGGTGGTCTAGTGGGTAGCCTCGCAGCCTGCTAAGGGCCAGGGCATAGGTTCGAGTCCAGACGAGTGAGTTTTCTCTCGCTAATTATATCCTGGTCTCCGTTGGAAGCGACGCGCTGCAAAGCTCGTTGTTGGTAAACTTGATCGACTTCATAGGTCGCGATAGAAGGGATTGCTGTACCCTTCTCGCGATAAAAAATATCTCAGGCAGAAACCGCTGGAGGGGGTCCAACCCCCCCCTCCTACGTTACCCCGGTTGGGTCGTCTAGCTGGTAGAAGTGGAGGATAGGGGCCAGAGGGGCAGACGACAGAGTCCAATGATGGGAGAAAAAAAGGAAAAAGATACCACACCCCTAAGTTACGCCGCAAATATATATCGCGGAGCCCCCTATCACACAAGCGTGGTGGGCCGTGATGACGAACATAGCGCACGCCGCAACCCTGCACTCCAGCTATGGCGACCGACAACACCGCGGAGATGAACGAAGCACACAACACTGCTCAAAGCATCGCGGCTCAGACTCGAAGCGGCAGCGCCACGCCCAATGACGGCCATTTTTTCAGTGGCGCCTGAGACTCCCGCAGCACCCGGTGTGCCTGGCACCGCCCGTGCTGCCGAGGCCCGCGCAGCAGAACCTTTTGTTGACACTCTGCCAACAACGCCTGCTGTGCCTGGCACCGCCCGTGCTGCTGAAGTCCGCGCAGCAGAACCTCCTACTGCTGACACTCCCGCAACAACACCTGCTGTGCCTGGCACCGCCCGTGCTGCTGACGCCCACACGAGACCACCCGCAACCCAGAAATCTTGTGGGAGCACGTAATGATGGGTGTAACGTTGTCAAAACCCCATGATTATCACACCCCTCTTTATCGCACACGCTGTAGGTTGGGTCGTGTGGGCGCACTTGTTCCCACGGGTGACATTTTCACACCCCATCCGTATTACACCCCCTTGTTACCACACACCCCCTGGGTGGCAATCTACACTTCAGTGGGTTGGCGCTGTTGGCAAAGCGCTGTAAAACACGCCACCCCAAATATAGCCCCCATAGTATGCGCTACCAAAGACGCGTGACGCATGGATGCGTGGAGTGAGGATTGCTTACGGAAACCTCACAGGTTGAGTGATGTAGGAGATTGCCGGACACACAGACGGGTTGAGTGGGGATAGCTGCATACTTAAACCCCACGGGTTGAGTGATGTTGGAGTGCCGGACACATAGACGCGTTGAATGAGGATAGACACATATTGAACCTCACAGGTGATTTGTATTGGAGAGAGACACCTAGACGTGTTGAGTGAGGATAG